CACACACACAAACTTTTTTTTTGTCTGCTCTGCAAATACTTTTATTGTTGGATGGTTTTTCTCTCAGCTTTGGAATTGCTTTTGAACATCCCACAGAGTTCACTGAGAGTCAAAGTTCCTTCCCCACCAGGTGGCAACATAATACACAGGTTCCAGTTCCTGTTCCCACCATGACCTTCAATTAACTCAGAGAAAACTATACCACCGTGAGTACAAACAAAAAATCCAATAAAAAAAAAAAAGACAAGTTCCCACACACATGTTTTGTGAACATTTGTGAACATCCAGTAAAAATGAAGGTTAAAAAATAACACTGGTGGATTTAAACCCAAAATACACATCTTACAAATATAAAAATAACAACAAGTACCGCAATAAACCCAGACAACACATCAAGAGTCAAAAACTTTGTCAGTTTTGCCATTGTGGATACTCGCTGCAACAGATTTGTACATACATGTCTAATACCCTTTTGTAAGTCAAATACATGTACCACGTGCTATTTTTAATAAATCATGCTTGTTTAGAATTGTGTAATCAATGCCACAAAATACTTTGAAAGTAACAGAACTGATAGATTAATTGTGTTTTGACAACAAGACAAAGTATTATTACAGTTTGAAGTACAGTGCTTCATTGGCAAAGTAAAAAAAAAAGCATTGCACAAGGAAATAACAATGTTCTCCAAACTTTTGGATGCTTTTTTTTTACCTTAGTAGTAGACAAAGCATAAAAAGGAGGTCAGCCCACAATCTTAAAACATATTTTTAAAAAGTGTTCAATGCAGCAATAACAAAGGTTGAGGGTTATAAAATGCTACGTTGCTTTGATAGCTGTGGACTCTTCTGAAGGAAGTAATGAGACCAGAGCTTTAGGTCTGGGGAATTCGGCTTTGTCAGAAGCGGGAGGAGGGAAGTTTTTCTCACTTTGAGCAGAATCATCAGGGTATGTAAGCGTGCAAGAAGAACAAGCTGAAATTTCTATGCTTTGGAGTGAATTCACTGGAGATGAAGGAGAGTCTATAGCACTTCCATCGGAAGAAATTGGGCTGCTGCATCGTCCCTCTCCTTGTAGGTACCGAATGCACTTCTTTTTCCTCCTAAGAACAGTGAAGTGAATTACGTAAAAAAACAGTCAATCATTAAATGTCACACAGCTTGCTTACAATAGAATATTGATTGTAAAATGCTAGCCATACACAAAGATTGAATTATGAAAACAAACGCAAAGCAAACAGAAGCAAATGTTGACCAAAACAACCAGAATCACAAATTTGTAATTTAAGGAAATAGTTTCAATTTGGTTCTAATAGTAAGCAAATATATATATAGATAGATAGAGAGAGAGAGAGAGAGAGAGAGAGGTGGACACATATTATTTGGGTAAACATCAGTTGATGAATAAACCTATAACAGTATTTCTATTCTCTAACATGAACTGTACAGGACAAAAGCTGGCCATACACTGTTCTATTTGTTCAACCTGTCAAAAAAATTAGAACAGATTCATCCATCAACGCTTATAAGCGTTAAACAAGGAATCTCCTGCTGTCTTCATTATCAGAGTACCCGAACAGGTACCCGAACATTGGCTGTAGGCTCTGTTTGTTCAAAGATTTTCTGACCCACTGTGCGAATTTTGTCCGGTTCCTTAAAGGAGAACTATGAGGTGAGTGCTTTTCACTCACCTCATAGTTCCAGCCGACCTGTGACAATGAGACTGTCACAGGTCGGCTTAGTAGATCGGGAGGTAAGCGAACACATACCGGCGTTCGCTAACCTCTCAATCCTGTCACGGCTGTCTGCCGTGACAGGGGAGGGGCTGGATTCCCCCCTCCCCGCTCCGCCAGCGCTGACTGGCGGAACGGACGGGGAGGGTACAGCTGGCTCTGCCTCTAGATAGGCAGAGCCAGCTGTCAGTCACACAGCTGGGCGGGTCCCGGCACAATTGTCGGGATCCGCTTCAGCTGCGGCATCTCAGTATACTGCGAGCAGGAGCTCGCGGTATACTGCGGCGTCTCTGTATACCGCAAGCTGTAGCTGTATACTGAGCCTAGGGTGACGGGAGTCTAGTTTGTATCCTCCCGTTACCCTAAGGAGAACTATGGGGAAAAGCCTTAACCGCATAGTTCTCCTTTAAGAACTGCCCGAAATTCGCATAATATATGGCCAGCTTAAGTCTGAACATTTATCTTGCCTGTGAATAAAAAAGAGACAATTCTCTAACGTGTGGACATATCAATTCATGAAGTATGCAGAGGCCTTTCATTAACCCCTTCGTGACTGACGACGTACAGTGTACGTCGCCAGCATCGGGGCTGTT